GTACGTACGCGATTCGATGAGATGAAAGTTTATTAATAATTCATAAATACGAATTCCCGCTTCCTCCGTGCGAAACTAGAATGCGGAGGATGCGGACGAATTATTTAAATTGTTTTATCCTCTCTTTTACGTAACGATCGGAGCGCGCGCGAAGAGAAAGGAAGGAAATGGGGGAAAAAAAACAGAGAGAGAGAAGAAAGAAAGGAGAGTAACGAAAAGAATCTAAAATAAAGAAAAAAAAGAAAGAAACCAAAAAAATAAAAAATATTGATATGGAAGAAAAAGAGAAATAAAGAGAATATAAAATATCGATAAAAAAGGGAGGAGGAGAGACAACGCAAAGAATAAAATATCAATGCGAGATATAACACGATGTGTCGCGTAAAATAAAAATTAATGAATAAATAAATTAACGTAATCGTAAGCGGTCGATGTAAAAATTCGCACTAAACGAAAGAAAAAAAAAAAGAGGGAAGAAGATCGAGTTATTGAACTTAACGAAATTTCGTACGCGCACGACAAGATATATGGTAGCAGTATTTGTAACAGATTTTTTCGAATTGAAATTCTGCGATACGGGCCAATACGCGCTATGAATTTGCTCGGTATGTTCCACCTTATCAGCGGAATCGGCAAGCTATCCACGTTCGATGTAATGCCTACTATCGATCCGGGGGGTGCACGTTCGCAATTATGTGATACTTGATATTGCATTAAGCAGCACAGGCTACGTCTTTATATAACGGTCGCAATTTTCTTTCCACCTTCGAATCGGCTTAGACAAGGGAAGATTTCCGCTGGCGATTTTACGACGTCCCGACCTTTGACTTTCGCGGATTGCCGCGAGAAAGGTCGACAAATAAATCGCATTGACATCGCCGAGACGATGTGGTGCACGAAACGTATCGATGGAAAATTCCGCCGAGTTTCCGCTAAGTAATTTCAACGCATCGAGAAGCTAGTAATTCGTGTTTTTCACAGACAAGAAAAAAGGGAAACAAGGGGTAGAATAGAAGGACAGATAAGAAGAGAGGAAGAGAGTGGCATTTGAGGAAACGGTTCAATCGGAGGGAGGGAGAGAGAGAGAGAGCGGTTGTGGGTAATAAAATATCCACTCTAAATCTATCGAGCTAGGAATCGGCCGAGCGGGCCAATTAATCGCGGTAAAAGCACCGTGCAGCAAAGACGTCTCGTTTTCAGATTGGATCGCGTATAATCGATAATTTAATGAATCACAGGCCGCTTCGCACCCCGTGAAGCACGCTTATATAAAAGCCAAGTTGCTCGCTCCGAACAACGCCGAAGGGCGCGGAAGAAGAGAAAGGCGCCTCCATAGCAGAGCGAAGGGATTAGATAGTGTCGGTTTTATATATGTATATCGCCGCCTGAAGCGATGCTTTTTGACGCACCTCTTGTATCCATTCGCCTTCGAGCGTAACGTTCATTTATCATAGGGATTTCAATAAGTTGGTAACTGGAACGTTGGTAAAAGGGCGTTGAAAAAAAGATGATACTTACTAAATACATTTGGTTAAATTTATATAGTTCAAGCAACTAAATGGTTTTTAGAATTATATATTTATTTCATCCAATCAAATTAGTAACTGTTGCCGAATGGTCCGAGTTATTTAGTAGCAGTTACCAAATTTTGTTATGTTATCAAATTCTTCCTTCAGTATGGTTTAATCGCAGCTATCAATTCGAAAACCCCGCCTTCGTGGTTCCACGAAGAAAAACATGCATCGTTAAATCAGTAACATTATTTAATGGAAAGGGATAGAAAAAATGGGAGACACTTTCAAAGAACCGCGGAAGCCGGCCGGGAGGTGTTAATGATCGTCGACGAATCGAGAAAAAAATGAACGAGCGGCGGCGGCCGAAGAAAACAAAAACTTCCGGTCTTTATTACTCGTTGAGAGGCGACTTTCTCTCTCTCTCTCTCTCTCTTTCTCGCTCCTTTGGGAAAAGCTCCGGGAAAACCTCCGGGAAGCTTGCAATCACAGATGAGACGTCGTTAGGTATTCCGCACGCGTACCGGCGGGTCTTCCCGTTAATAACATCACGCATTTCGAACATCTTTCCGTGCTCATGCGCACCTGCGTGTCGATACGGCGCGCAAGTCCTGCGGGCTCTCACGTAACGCTGGAATATCCTTCTCGTTGTAATACTTCCTGTAACGCCGCGTTAAAGAACGCTATCAGCAGCGGCCTGATGCTACGATATTACATTTATCAATCAGCCGGCAAAACTATCAAAGCACGAAAAATGCTGATTTTTCTCTGAGTTTTAAAATATTATATGAATTTTATTGATTTTTTCTTACAACTGTGTCGAAGCTGTAAATCATCTTTACACAAATTCATCAAGCTTCTCCGTGTTGTATTATTATCTTTCGAAAGATAATTAGAGACTTTCACCGACTAAGGTTAACCGACGGATAAACTCAACGGAATTGACCATTCATCAGCTCAGCTAATTGACCAATGCGATTGGTCAATACCGTAGAGTTAATCATTGGGTTAACCGGAGCTGACGGAAACGGCCCTAATATTGTCGCGTACCAATTACCTTATTGAGATAACTGACGTTATGATGGAAGAGGAGGAACTATCTTAATAAGTTGCGACTTGATTGTGCGTCAATGTTTTCACTTGGTCGGTTTCGAACGAATCACGAATTCATATTTTAACGGAAAAATGGCTATTCGGTATTCTGGAATTACTATGTTGTCGAGAGAAAAATGTAGAGCGCACGTGGCTCGGAAGCTAAACGTTTGTCTTGTGTCATGGTTGGGATCACCTGTTACCACGAGGATATTGATTACCATGTATTACTATAGACGAGACATTTGTTTGTCCAGGCATTGCGGCCATAATTGAATGGCTGATGAGAAAAACGTGGAAAAATACAATGTTCGTAATTCAGCGGTGGGATTATAGCGGTGAGATCATAAAACCGACGTAAAATTATCGTCGTTCGTGTCTGTTAAGCGGGTTTATGTGCCACCGATATATATCTATTGCTTCTCAAACATCGGCAAGGACAGGACATGCAAGTCGTTTATATAGTACTCGAAATATAAACGAAGCGATTTTTTAGGTCTCCTTACTTCCTCTTCAGCTCGGGCCGCGCAAACGTAACGCTCAGTCGACATTACGAAATGTGTGAGGCGCTTGCTGCTGAAAGTTCTTATCTTCCTTTCTATATATTGTTATAATATATATATATTGTTAAAAACGTAATAAATTAATTATATGTAAAGGAGTTGTCTCGATAAAAGCTTTTCAGATAAGAAGTGCCTCACACATTTCGTAATGTTAATGATTCTTAGGCTGATTTAATTATAATTATCTAAAAAATAAAATAACTAAAAATGATAAAGAACTGATATGAAATATTTCATCTGAAAGTTAAATATTTCGTTGTTTTCAAGAGGTATTTTAAATTACTGAACATAGAGAAAAAGATGTAATAAAAAAACTAGCCTGTTATTTTCGGTTGTTTCTCAGCGTACCCATCAAAATCGGTAAGGAACATTATCGACGTAGTCGTTTGTAAGATGGCTCTCTGAAATAGGAACTAGGCTAATGTCGTTGCTACCGAAATTTAATTTATTTGAACTTCGGCTCTACAGCGAGAATATTCACTACCAAAGACAAATGACATTTTACTACATAACAGAGATTCAAGACGATAGTGTGTGTTACTTTTAAAAACAAAACGGTTATTTTGTTCGTTATTTTAATTACGATTAAAACAACGATGTCGTGTGCTCGTATAGCATAAAGAACGTAATATCGATAAAAGATTAAAACGAAATTCCAGGTAATCCCTTTCCAGATAATTGCTTTTCCTTGCTACTCTCGCGGCTGTAATCTCCGGGTAATAATTAAGTTATTTAGGGTTTACGGTAAATTACTGCAACCGGTAAGGACGCGCCCCTTATACGGAATAACATCTCCTGTCAAATAATAAATGAAACGGCGTCATTAGTGGAATACTTATATATCATGTAACATGCGCGGAAGTAATTATGTTGATCGATTAAAGAAAATCCATAATATTCTATAGAAGCAAGGATATATATATCAAAAATATTTTGAGAAAAATCCAAAAATATCTTTTCATTTCCCCGTTTCATTATTATTTCTTGGTAAATTCGTTTTCACTTCTTCTCCCCTCTTTTTCCGTAATACTATTTTCCCAAATACAACGAATTTCCTATTGGGAGGAGACAATTTATACGAATACCAGTTTATATGCGTTTGTAGATTATACCGCCATTGAGAGGTCGTGGACAATTTAAAACGTAGTTTTCGGGAACGATATATAACGTGTGATGGATATGTAAAGCGATTGATGCCAGTATAATTTCAGATTCCAATACCGCGCGAAAACGCACAAAAACGCGTTTTGCCGGCTTTTTATTTTTACGTTTATTCGTTGTCAACTATTGTTCGGTGAAAATGCGACAATTCAAGAATACAAATGAAAGAATGATTAAGAACGGTTAAAAATAACATTATGAGTTACGACACGTTTGCGAGGAAGAACCGTTGATCGTTTTAACCGTTTTGACCCTAAAATGTATTGTAAAAAATAACCGCACCATCATTGAGAAATTATTGCCTCGTTCCGTTTTAAATTGACGCTCGATTACGCCACAAAGCAAATAATTCGTAAAAAAAACAACGGCGAAAGATTAACATGCGGGACTCCTATCTCAAGAATCGGTCGTGAAAGCAACCTCTGGTGGCGTATCAAGTATCGTATAAAGCGGAGGGAGCGGAAGGACAACGCTCGAAGATATGAGCGCGCGGCTTACGCGCGAGGTGTGCGCCTCCACTACCACCTCTACTGTCGCCGCCTCCGCCACCATCGTCGCCGCCACCACCACCACCGCCGCCGCCCGCCACCATCGCCGCCACCACCGCCGCCGTTGCGGCCACCACCACTTCGTACCACCTCTGCCTCCGCGATCAGTCGACCCCGTGCAACGCGGCACGCCGGCTGTCGCGTGATAACATTTAGGTGCGTTGCTAACTTCGAGCTGCCGTCAAACTCGCAATTCCTTCGTCAAGGGACGTCGCGAGGTGTGACGCGAGAAACGATACGCTCGGGGGGTGATATCGCGCGGGTGCACGAGTGTATATGGGAGGGAAGGTTAGGGTGAGTTTAGAAGTAAGGAAAGGAAGAATCGGGAGGACGGGGGTTATCGGGTTAGAGAGTGGATGTTGGCCATTTGAGGAGTCACGGTTTCCGTGAACGTTACGGGCGCGACTTCACGGCGAGATGGAAAACGACAGTTGTTGCGAAGAAGTATCGTGCAATTATTTTCGGTAATCGGAGGGGAGCCGTGTCCGAAGAAATGCAACTCCGAGTGTGCCGTCATCGCTCGGCTCGCAATTTTACGGCGAGAGCGATGACAACCCCTAGCGAGTAGTGTTGGTCAATTAGACGCAGACGTTCGTTCTTTTCTCTATTTGACGAAGAACTTGCGTTCCAATATCAGGGATGAAGAGAAGAAATAGGATGAGGTACGATTTTGCCTCTTTTTCGGGAAAAAATATGAAAATATCGGAATCTCGGAGATGGCAAAAGGGTTATAATAAAACGTCATAGGTAGGTAGAAGAATTCTTCCTTTTCCGAAAGAGCAGCAACTGCTAAAGAAAAATTCCAGAAGCGTCGTTCGCGCGTCAAGAGGTCAAGATATTTTTTTTAAATCCTCGTTCAACAGAATCCATGATTTCTTACATAAAATATATTGCGGGGAATATCAAGAGACGCGACTCCACCGTGATTTCTCCAGCGAAAATATCGCTTTCTTTTATGTAAGAATAAAAACATTGATTATTCGAGCAGATATTATTGCAATTGTCGTCGCTCGCACAATCGGACTCTTATCGGAGAACTCGTCTGTTTTATGTAAAACCGCGCGACCGAAAGGCTCTTTTTTTGGCGAATAAAGATTTATACCCACAATAACTTCGCTCGGCAAATATTAATCCGAATTCGCAGAGATACAATTGGTATCTCGCACTCTTTCTTTTCCGTGATCAGTTGAGAATCGAACTCTCCTCCAAGAAAGTCGTAGCGAATTTCCCCCCCTTTACGTTCCTTCTATAGTAGTTAAAATTCGCGATTTCAACGAGAATGAATCCGAGCCGAAATTTTAATGCTACTTTGACGCTTTTAAGGATAAGTTTACGCCTACTCAGATGGTCTATAAACTAATGAACAACTTGACTTGTTAACTTTTCTCTTGAATTTGACAGATTTAATTCTAAATACCACATTGACTGACCTATTTTTGTCACTAAACAAACAAAGCGTAAATAGAACTTTGAGACATCACTAGGATGAAAGGAGGAGTAAATTATTATTAGAATCGAAATTGAACTTTATTTTCCTATCTTAACTCCTACTATGTTATAGGATGAAACGTAGAGGCAAAATTTTGACTCAGAATCGAAGTGACGATTGCTGATAGTAAGTCGTAAATATGCTGCTGAAAGAAGTATTTGGTAACAATTACCAAACATTTAGTTCAACTAAATGATTTGGTAACAATAAGATCGTTTAGTTATATGCATTTAATAATACATGTAACTAAATGTCTGGTAATTGTTAGCAAATCTTTTTTTTTTCGTTCAATATACTAATAGTGCGTGCATTGTGATGTTTAATAACGTACACACACTGTCGCGAGATTCGGCTCATGGAGCTTTAATGATGATTCGGCAGTAGACTGCATTATCGCAATCGACACCACTCAGTATTCCGGCACTGCGGTTTACAGCGGATACTACTGTCGGAAGTAGGAACCAAAATACGTTATTATTAGCGCGCGACATGGACGACGTAAACGCGATAGTCCCGGAGGATGCAATTATTAATGCCGAGCGTCGCTCACGTGATTAGCAGATCGAAGAGTGTATGACCGGTTTTGCACGCCGCTTAACTTTCAGCGTAGTTCAACTTACTTGCCGTCTCTTTCTAATCCTAGTTCCGGAAACGGACAAAGAGTTCGAGAAACTAAGGTCGGTGGTCGACTCTCTTGCCGACGAGACCGGCCGCGTTGTTTACGAGGATTTCACCTTGTGGAGAAAGATAATAATGACACCGAAAATATTATTTTACGATGCAGCATGTAATACACAATACAGCAACACTGGTCAACAAATTTCGCGTTATAATTTGTATTCTTTACAAAGGTTTACTATTTGTGTTCGTGTATTGAGAGAGAAAATGACAATAAAAGAAATTACTTCCGCACAAGAATGTGAATTTTTTGTAAATTAATCATCTATGAAAACGACAGAACATATATTTACTAAAACATTTGTTTCTCCTTATATTTCATACTTGATATATTGAAATTCCTTTAAATTATTAGACAACTTTTAACGTTCTCAACATAAATGCAATTGCAATTGAAGATTAGAATTAACGCGCGCGCACGGTCTCCATCTCCCTATAAGAAATTGAAATATATCTCTCGTTCACACTCTTTGAAGGAAGATTGTTACGTATAGCAGTTCGAAGAGTAAAATTATAGCTTCTAAGAAAATAATTTTGAAGAAATTTTCTTTGATTATTGTTTACTATGTTATGAGAATTACTTTGATTTTAATCGTTATACTTGTGTATATAATCAACATTATAAAATGAATTGACGATTTAAGTGAAGGATACAATTTTTATGTTGAACCAATGTAGCTCAGTCGTCTGAAAAATCATCTTACACTATTGGCTTGGTGCAACGGTTCCGTTTTTTAATCGGTGTTTCGTTCAGAAATCCTAGAATTCTACAAGGACGTGGGATCACCGGAGAGAGATCGAACAAGGCTGTGTTCGAAAATTTACTACCAGCGCTGAAAATTTATAGTTCGTGTTACGTATACTATAGATTTTCAGCACTGGCGGTGAATATCGGAACGGCGCGATTGATTGATCATTTTAATCGATTGTATTTGAAAATAAATCAATGTTACATTTTAATGAGACGAACTTTCACTCCGACGCAATAATTATCATTCAACGGGGAGTAATTTTGCGTTGCGCGTGATCATCGCCGACTTCTTAACGACTGTCGTTAGACCCTCCTTTATCGTTCCGTCGCCGATTCTTCTCAAACGGCGAATAGGTTTACTCGACGTTTCGTTTGTTTGTTTTTTTTTACAATAAGCTCAATAGGGCGAGAAAGAGAAAAAGACAGTGAAGGATGGAGAGTTGGCGTCGACCCACCGCGCGGCTTTCCTAACTTGTTGAGTCTCTCTCTCTCTCTCTCTCTCTCTCTCTTGGCAGATACGCTGCCCATGGGAAACGCTTTATGACAATTCTAAATCTTTTACGCGGATATTACTTTTCAATGACCTATAAAAGTTCCTCGGAAAGAAGTATCCGTCGTAACACATCGCTATAAAATTCAACGTAGTATTTTACGGGGTATTCCGGGGGGAAAGGCGAAATCGCGTGGGTGGAGTGAAAAAATTAAGTGAAATTGGTCGTGTGTTAATATTCTCCAGGGCGTTCCCTGAAAGAGCGGACTTTGCAAAGAACAGGAGAATTTAAAGTTCTCTCTAACGAGCCGCGATTGTCGTAACTTTCTCGTAATAATACTTACCTCTCGGTGAAACAACAACGACACCTGCTGAAACAACATCCGGTTTGAAAAGCTGACGAAGATGAGATATATACGGGAGAGAATGAAGTAATGATCGACTGAAAGGACAGTCGACTCATGTAATCTCGTGGCACAGTCAGAATGAGCTCCTGGATGAATTGTCCGTCCTCGTTGCTACTGCTGGTGCTGGGCTGGCTGAGCCTGCACAGCGCGTGCATCACGCGGGCCAACGTCGCCGCCGGGCAACACGGCGAGCCGCGCGACCCGCTGGTGGTGGAGACCAACAGCGGTCTGATACGCGGCTTCTCCCGCACGGTGATCGACCACGAGGTGCACGCCTTCTACGGAGTGCCGTTCGCGAAGCCGCCGATCGGGCCGCTGCGCTTCCGCAAACCGGTGCCGATCGAGCCCTGGCACGGGATCCTGAACGCGACCACGTTGCCCAACAGCTGCTACCAGGAGCGCTACGAGTACTTCCCCGGCTTCGAGGGCGAGGAGATGTGGAACCCGAACACCAACATCTCCGAGGACTGCCTCTACCTGAACATCTGGGTGCCGCACAAGCTGCGGCTGCGGCACAAGGCCGGCGAGGGCAACGCCGGCGGCATGGCGATCCTGGTGTGGATCTACGGCGGCGGTTTCATGAGCGGCACCGCCACCCTCGACGTTTACGACGCCGATTTCATGGCCGCGACCAGCAACGCGATCATCGCCTCGATACAGTACCGGGTGGGGGCGTTCGGCTTTCTCTACCTGAACCAGCACTTCGGCAAGGGCAGCGAAGAGGCGCCGGGCAACATGGGCCTCTGGGACCAGGCGTTGGCGCTCAAATGGCTGCGCGACAACGCGCCCGCCTTCGGCGGCGACCCCGAGCTCATCACGATCTTCGGCGAGTCCGCCGGTGGCAGCTCCGTCTCCCTTCTCCTGATCTCGCCGGTCACGCAGAACCTGGTGCGCCGCGGCATTCTCCAGAGCGGCACCCTCAACGCCCCGTGGAGCTACATGAGCGGCGAGCGGGCGAACGAGGTGGCGCGGGTGCTCGTCGACGACTGCGGCTGCAATTCGACGCTGCTGCTGGAGAACCCGGCGCGAGTGATGGCCTGCATGCGCTCGGTCGACGCCAAGACCTTGTCCGTGCAGCAGTGGAACAGCTACAGCGGCATCCTCGGCTTCCCCTCCGCGCCTACCGTCGACGGTATCTTCCTTCCCGAGGACCCGCTCGACCTGGTCCGCGAGGCGATCTTCGAGAAGACCGAGATTATGATCGGAAACAACCAGGATGAAGGTAGGAAAATCTCGATGTGAGAAATATTCCCCTGCAATTCGCGGCGCTTCTCATTTCCTCAGCCAAAATTATGATTGGGGATTTACGGGAGAAATTAGTGTTTCAAACACGCGATTCCGTCATTTTCTCTTCCGTTTAAGAACTCCTTGTAAATTTACTTTTCTACATAATAACATGAGAGAAATCGATTACGATTAGACCAGAAACTTTGCTGGTTCTCGGACAATTTCTGCATGTATATACGTTATCGCGACAAGTGTTGATTCTTCCGGCAACATGAAATTGAGTCTTAATGATATGTCGAGATGAAGAATCTATTTGAAACTCGCGTTGAAAGCAATTCACTCGATATCCCTGAAATTTAATCAGCAAGCGCCGCTTAATTTTTCACGCGAAACTCTCGATTAGGATCACTATCAGGCCCCTTTTTAAGAGAAGATAATAATTCGTTGGAGAACCCATCGTGAAACCGTAACATGCGCCGGCTGTAAAACGCCTGCAAAAAAAAGTCTGCACGGAGATCGCGCGGCGTTTCTTTTCATTACCGTAATAATCGGCGTGGTTGACGAGTATCAGCGAATACACCAAGGTTATTGAAGGCGCTCGTTATATTTTCGCTCGATGATATTAACGGTAGTTGACGGCTTTTCTTACATATTTGTGTTGTCTAAAAATGTAAGGGATTTCGCGATATTCGGAATCTACCGCGGCGCAAGTACAAATCCGAGCATTACTTTCTTTTTTCTTTTCTAATTTTACATCTAGTTCTCTTCCTATTATATTTCTCTCTAGCATCATTGGAAATTTCTATTATAAAATTCGGAATCGGTAAATTAATTGAAACAAATTAATCACAGATTTAACGACGCATTACGGCTTGGCTATAATATGAAATAATAATTCAGTAGGAACATATTGAAGAAAGAAAACCCCCTTTACAAACTACCTCTTAAGCCGGAATTATCGCGAGATAGAGCTGCGTAATGATAAAGGCCTGATTATGTCGCGGCCAACTGGTGGTTCTGGCGTATATCGATTAAATAGCCGATGCACCACTGGAACGTGTGTGTGTGTGTGTGTCGCTGCTTTTTCGTTGATGAGCGGAATTATTAGTATGTGACCTTTAATTAGTGCGCAGCGCGATACTCGCCTCACGCACTAATGATGTTCATTCAGTCGAAATTATGAGCGCGAATGAGAGAAAAAGGGAGGGAGATTTCATATGCATGAGGCTGTCCTCCCCCTCCTTTCCCACGCAAGAAAGGTTCGACAAAATTTCGGAGCAAATACAGACGAGCGAGGCGAATTAAACAGCAGCTCGACAATTCACGCGTTTATTTAACGTGAGATATCGCAGAAAGAGCGCCGCGTATATTGCGTAACGCGCACAAAGAAACACGTTCGCGCGCTTAATTGGCCAGTTTCACGAACGATGTAAATTATATTACAGTTGTTCGTCCCACACATCTTCTCCCTTTTATACTTCCGTATTCTGCTCTTTAACGACTGGTGCCATGTGACGCGCACACGGCCCGATAATCGCTGAATTATTAACAGATCACCTGGTGCCTTTTCTCTTTGCCCTTTATCAATTAACGGCTCACGATATTCCCTAATTCTGCGATTTCGTGACCAGCCGACCGTCTCAATCGTATTATTCGCCGCTTTGATTTCGCTGAGACTCGCTACGTTCTTCATTAATTACTGTCAACGGGACTATAAAATAAATCTCAATGTGGTTCAGAGGATGCACTCCAAGCTTAACCGTTTCAGTGCCAAGGAGCGATTCTTCTGTTTCGCTCGAAAGGCTGCGATAACCGGCACGGCTTCTGTCGATGCGCGACTACCATTCCGTTTTAGGTAAATAATGAGGCAACTGATAAAAGAACGAATTTTAATAGCAATCTAACATTTGGATGCAATTATCGGAGAATAAGACGTTTGGCATTTCTGAATGGGGAATAAGACAAGCGAAAAAGCGCTCCTTGGCACGTTTGGACGGGGAAACAGCAGAGACACTCAAACGGAACCTATCGAGAGAAAGCTTCTCGATATTTATGGGTGAAAGAATGGTAATCAGCGTAAGAGCATTTTTCTATGGTGAATCTACCCTTCCGACCAAAATCTCACACGCCCGTGTTACTGCCGATTTATTGTTTCCCACGCAGGATCGTTACCTTATGTTTGATTATCCAGCCGCTCTGTTGCTGGCGCGTCTATCGAGCGTGCAAATGGGGTGATAAATCGGTATTGTCTGCAGAGTTCGCACGCTCTCTGGTTTAATTAAAAATATAACCTAACCTCGCTGAATCGAACTTCAGTATTGACAGCGAGCGACCGATTCTGCTATTTATTTACGGTGAGGGATAGATAGAGAAAAAAAGACAATTGGAGGAGAAGAGAGAAGCAAATATCGTGAGATTTTACGTTGCTCTCGAATTGATTTTCGGACCGCGGTAATGTATAATCCATTAAAAACCTATAAGTAAAGTAGATTAAGTAGCGAGCTGAAGGCGCGGGGGAACTATCGCTAAAATTGGATTGGATTTCGCACGTATCGTCAGGTATCGGCAACAGGTTCCCCGGGAACGACGGTACGCTTGCTGAATGGATGAAAGGAGAAGGGACGGGTGGAACGTAATTTTTGTCGCGGAGAGTTTGAAGAGGTTTAATTAAAAATATTCCAGTAGATGATTGGCTCCGAACTGTTGAATACCGGAATACAGAGATAGACATTTTCAGCGGCGAAAGTTACGCGCATTATTTGTCATCGGTAGAATCATGCCCGTTTGCCGCAACTTTTCAGAATGGTTTACGATCGGTCGGCACAGACGAGATTTGCGCACAAAAAGTCGACTCTTCTATCGGTTTGGTAGCATTATTTTGAAATATTTTAACATAATTATTTTAGGAGGTCAACATTTTTTAAATTTATTTTAACATTAAGATGAGTTAGTAAAGTCATAAACATATGAAATAGTCAAATTAAACAAATGTTTCTATTACGAATAATTTAAGATAAAGTAATTTCATTCCTGTGTTAATGTGAAATGTAAGCAGCGTGGTCGGCAGGACTGGTAACAGGTAGTAGTAGAAAAAAAATGTGTGAATTAAAATGTTGAAATGTAACATTTATTCATATCATACGTCCCAAAATTTTTTACAAATTTAACTATCCCTTCGCGTATTTTTTAACTGTTCCTTGTGTTATTCTGACATCGTATTTTAAGATGAAACAAAATGTGTTTACGTCAAATAATTAACATTTTCAATATGTTGAGATATAACATACAGAAAATTTAAGGTGGACTCTCTGGGACATAGGAAAAATGTTGAATTTTTTACCGTGTAAGTTGCGTTTTCGTGGTGTTCTTCGAACACAAGTGGTGCGTTAATGCACAATAATCGGTACGAATAATAAATGTGACAAAACGTCGTATTAACGGGATGATTTAAGCACGTATTGCATGCACGTGCGCAATAAAACTTATTGACAAACACGATTCAGTTAATTGAAGTATTGCACGGATATTGATGCGCTCGAGACAGATAATTTATTGCCGTGATTGTTTATAGGTCAGATAACGCGGTTCTCTCTTCTCTCCCTGCGGGCGATCTCTTATCGGTAAAATGAAATGTAAATGCGGCGCGGGATATTTATTTCCACCGCAAGTCAAATAACTGCGCGCGATGCCGGTAACGTAAGTTATCTTGTCAAACAACGAACGATTAATCAGCCGGCTAATGGAGAAACGCGGTAACCAATCAGTGCGCTGCATCCGCGCTGATAGACGATACGGCGTGCCGAATACGCGAGTAAAATTTCAAGCAATGGCGGATGTTTTAATTTTGAGTCATAAAGTGAGGCAAAATCGAAAGACTCGGGAGAATATTAAACTTCGGCAACGCGAAGAAGAACAAGGTCTTATTCTTCCCTGCAAATGAACTTTCCTCCGACAGAATTTTAATCCGACATTTAATTAGCGATATTTAACAACCTTTAATACCGACGGACGAGATTTGTGCGCGACGGATTTTTTTGCATGAGATGTCCGGTGTGAAATTTTTCGATACAATAAAAAAAAATCCGATTCTATTATCGAGCGCTTCGCCGTCCTGTCAGTAAGATCTTTGGTCGTCGTCCGCACTTTGATATTTTGATACGGCGATGGTGATCATCAATAGCTGTTTCTTATTGCGGCTGAAGCACGGTTGGCCTGCCCGCAACGTCGCTCACCGATATCGCATCGAACTTATCCATTTCGAGAAGTTACACAAAGCAATGAATAAGCGTAACGCGTGGTTATCAATTGCATTAATATTCATAATTCGGCGATATCCGTCAAATCGGACGTGCGCGCAATACGAATAATTGGATGTGTTAAAACTGCGTGTACTGCGATACTTTAATTCAATTAACGAGAAACGTCCGAGAGTCGATCCTATCTTGGATAATTGCAGGATACAAAATTACATCGATCCTCCCTCTGATTGGCCGTAATACCGTTACAGCTAACTACGGTTTTCGTTAATTGAGACACCGATAAATGTCACCGACACGGTATCAAAACGCCATGGTACTTTTCACTCTTGATTAACATCCATCTCGATGATTCAACATTCATAGAGCGCGCGTTCCCTTTGCGCGAGGCGAAATGACGAGTGTCATCCAGAGTGTGTAAGCACCTGTAATTCGCCAATCTCATGACAGCGGAATGTGCGTTTTATCGCTGGCGGATCGAAATTTACGACGATTGTTAATTTCATTATTGCATCCGACAACATTATTCTTGTTAACCGAAATGGTTCGTCGAAATCTCTCTCCGGCGGTTTACATGCCACGTGGCACTTACGGCAGCGCAGTGCGTGCGCCTAAGTAACGCTTATATGTATCGCGCTCCTGGTGCCGCACTTTAGTGCTCACATGTAAAACCGCGGTACTTCGGTTTATACTACCTCTTCCTTCCTTCTCACACTCTTTCACGATTGTTGTTGTTGTA